CTGTGATGTGACCACTTGCCTCACCTAGTGTCTAATCAGCATCTTGATATGCCACACTGCGAGGCGGGATGGATTAACTCGGCAAAGGAGAATTGTCATAAAAGCTGTACTTTTGTCTTTACTGGAAGAAAAAAAAAAACGGATGTATTTCTTGTTGTGATCAGGGCTTCATCTGTAAAAACGATGGTTTTCCTCTGTTCTATTACGGTGAAGAAGCTGGTCCCTCTCTGTTCCAACCTTCATCTTTAGTCTTGAGATTTGGATCAGGACTGAAAGAACCAGATCCTGGATCCAAGCAGCTGAAAAATGCCTTCAGAGTGGAAGGAAGGTGAGGAGCTCCACAGTTCAGAGTAGAGCTGCTCCTCGATGGAAGAAGTCATTAGATGTTCCTGGCATCTAGAAATAATCCTCCTGTTTGTCCCAGAGGTCTCTGCAGGGATTGTATCCTCTCCYGTCTGGAAACACATTGAGAAAATGAAGAGACTGTTACTGAAGAGAGCCAGGTCTGGGGTTCTCTCTTGGACCTGATACATCCAAGACCTGAGTTYCAGTTTTTCAAAGAGGAACAAAATATTTCATTTCTACTTTATTTAATCAGGACAGTGCATATTAATTAACATTCTTATACTTCTGTATAGACTGTAAATGAGCCAGACTGTAGCATAATTGCTAATCAGTATGCATTGCCAATGCAATGCACACTATTGTGATTTGTTTCCCATCCAAGTCATCTCCACTTTAGCATGCTTCTCCTCCTGCATACGTTGTCCTAAAGCTGCCATTTTAATTTATATCTGTAAAGCTCCTGTGCCAAATGATGGCTATGCCTTTTGGTGCCCATAAAACGTATAGTTTTTGAAATATTAATGTTTAATAATTTATGATGGGAGTCAATGGAGCCTTGTATTGGTCCAATACTGGCCCCTGTTGCATCTACTCAGTACTGAACCATAGTTTAATAATATTTAATCTCAATAGTTCAGTAGTTAGAATACTAATACAATTGTATTTTGATGTTTTACTATAATGTTGTCTTAATACTGCTCTGTTGTTGTAATATTATCAGTTTAGTGTCAATAATTGTATTGGCAATGTGGCCCCTTTCTGCACACATACAAACCAACCCCTGGCACAACCCTCTGCCACAGCTCCATCAGTCTAATGGTCTATGTCATGGACTTTCATGCGGGAGATCAGGGTTCAAAACCCAGCTAAAGCAACTTTAACAAAAAATCTCTTTGAACTTCATATTGTCACACAATTCCCTTAATTACAAACACCTGCTGACGTGACAGGCAGAAGCTGGTATGGAAAACACATTTGAA